TCTTCTTTTCTTATGTTCTTTTGTTTAAGAATTATTTGAAGGTTATGCCAAAAACCCAAGAACTTTCAGCATCAAGAGAAAAGCACGTGAAGATGGTAAGAGTCTGAGAAATGTTGTTTTTCCACTTTGAGGAAAACTTGTTGCTTTTTCCTGATAAGGTGTTTATTCCTGTCCTTGACAAATTAGACTAAATACATTGTTTATGAGCTGTGTGAGAGCAAAAGATGCTGAGAAATGATTTATTTTATAGGTCATTAAGAGTGAAAATAACAGAGTAAATGGAAACATTCCCACAGTTAGAAATTTCTGCACAGCTCTACATTTATCATAAGCCTTTAAATTACACTTTATAGTGATTGCTATCAGAAGACTGGGATGTAAAAAGGGGGAAAAAAACTCTATAAACAAATTCAGAAGCCAACCTAATTACGTGAGCTGTAATTCCAAACTGATCCATTAAAGATATCAGGAAAGGTAACAGAATGTAGTATATAGAAGAAAAATGCACAATAGAAGAAAAAGTACCAGTCTGAGAATCAAAATATCTAAGTTCCAATCTCTCTCCGACCCTAGTAACTCAACACAGCAAATGACTGCATCTCTCTGGATCTCAAGGATAATCCAACTTTAGCATTTATAGATTGATAACTTTTCAACTTGTTTTGAGTACACACAAACAGTTGAAGAGCTGAACTTTTAGAGTGAACACACCCATGAAACTACCACTCTAATCAAGATATAAAACATACTAGCACCCTAGTGGCCTCCCAGACATTAATCATCCTTCTAGTCTCCATGAAGGTTGACTAATCTATCACTATAGATTAGTCAACATTGCTTGTAAGATCTATCCATAATTTTACTTGTAGGAATTCATTCTTTTTTATTGCTGTAGAAAATTCTGTTATAGGAATATATGTCCTGCTACCTTCTTTATCTACTCCACTGTTGGATATCTTCATAGTTTCCAAATTGGGGCTATTATGAATAATGCTGCTAGAAAAATTCTTCTGCATGTCTCCCAATAAACATATGTGTGTATTTCTGTTGAGTATTTACCCTGGAGTAGGATGCAGGATCATGGGTCCGCATATATCCAGGTACTGTTCCAAGCACTTTACAAATATCAATGTATTTAATCCCGACTACAACTCTATGAAGTAGGTGCTATCATTATCTCCAATTTACAAAGGGGGAATGAAAGCATGGAGAAGTCTGTGTTCTTGAACCAGCTGGCTATATTGCCTCTCTGTCAAAGTCAGCGACCACATCTGTCCTGTGTGGAACAGTGTTCCTATTGTCTACCACAATACCTTGAATATGGACATAGTAGGAACGCAACAATTATTTTTTGAATAAAATATTAGAAAATAGCAAGAATCCACTCTCTATGCAACTCACCCACCCTGCTTGACAACCCTTATATCTCAAGTGAGCTGAAAATTTTATTTGCCATTTTTGGACATAAATTTCAAGTCAGATGAGTTGCCACACCTTTGCCTTCTCTTAATGCTCTCTAGTGAATATGCTATTAAAAATTGCTAAAAGTTAACCACATAAAAATATCATTCCCAACTCAATGATTTTGAGCACTGGACCTTTAAATATACAAGTATATCCAACAGATAAAGAAATAAACTCAGAAGTTAGGAGACTTGCCCAGGATCCAATAGATGTTACTAGGAAACTGGGGACTAGATTTTGAGTCTTATGTTAAGGAACTGTTCCCAATATTGACCAGAATGATAAAGCCATAGTACTTTGAGACTCTTTAGATGATACATAAATTCTGCTTCAGACTAATGCAAAATGAAAGTCCAAAATAATAGTTATAATTGGAAGAATTGAAAACGTGTTTTCAATTTTAAGACTGAGACTTGTAAAATTACAAAAGCAATTGAATTACAAGTCTTTCAAAATCAAAGACTGGAACAATTAGCAAGGATATTTTTAAAATAAGTCATTTTCCCAACCAAGGGGATAAAAACACTATAGAAATATAATATATTTGCTCATTATTACTAAGAAATGAAAATCAACGTAAAATTACCCCCAATCTTAATTTGGCAACTCAAAGCAAGTTCTCTCATGGCCTACTCAAGTGTTCTCCTACAAACTAAATAAAAATAACTGGGAACTAATTCATAGAAGTTTATCTGAGTACATCTCTCTCACAAGTGCCTTTCTAGTGATAATGTTATATACTCTGTTTGCAGAGCCAGTGTCTGTATCTCTTAAGAAAACTGCTCTTGAGATCATGGCAAATCAGTTTCCTCAAAGCAAAACAGAACCAAAAGATTCTACAGAATGTTTCTATAGACAGGAGATCCCCTCCGTGACCCAACTTCATCAGGTAAATCTCAAATTTTTAGAAGAGGTATGAAAATGTTTATCAACTGTAGGGTTTAATTCATAACCCAGGGAAGCGATAATCCACTGAAGGTCATTTTCATATCCTACCTAACCAAGGAAGAAAGGCTAACTAGATGACTGATGAAGCTTTAGTAATTCCTTTTGTGGTATCTTCAAATAAGTCTAGGTCATGCTAGTCTCCATAAAATGTGACTGTGGGTTAAAGATTAAGATTTTGATCTACTCTGCAAACTACTGAACTGATGTTTTCAGGAACAAAAAAGCATTTGGTGATTATATGAAATGTGGCATAAACATGCACACACACACAGCTTATCTAGCTAAAGAGGACAATTTAATTTTCAATGTTAAAACTAACACCACTGCCCTGACAAAAGGTAGAGCTATGGAATAAACCTGCAAACAGCCTGAACAATTACTAAAAAGTACTTCTGGATGAATCCATCTGGATTTAAATATCCAGTACATGACTGTCTAGCAATTGATATTCCATTTGTTTTTTATATAAAACACATAATATTATAACTTTTATGTATTCGGTTATCCCTGAGACTAAATTTTTTATGTCAGATTATGCCTAAGACACAAATAGAACCAGGTCCAATACAAAAGTGAGTTTTAGGAAGATGATGTATAAGAGAGAAATTCCTTCATCAGAAAGGAAAAAAACAAACAATCAAATCTTGTTGTTTTAAAAGTAACCACTGGGGGAGGGGAGTAAGATGGTCAGTGTACAGTGTATATAACTCTACTGTATATTAAGCTATGACAAGCTATTTAGGGTTCCAGTTTTGACAGTCCTTGATTCAATGCCATATAAAAACATTATTTCTTAATCTTTGATCCTTACCTACCAAGTTAGAGTAACAGAAGATTTTATCTTCCAAACCTAAGAGAGTTTCATTGTTCTTCTAATCAGTCAGTTCCCCTAAAGGGTGAGGACTTCGCTAATTTAAAATTTTGAATTGGACAGAATTATGGGTGGCACCTTAATGATTCTATGCCTACACAAGAAAAATCTTATATAATCCTATAATCACATTTGTATTGCCTTTATTTTTAATCTCATCTCATAATTCTTTCACATAAAAGCACCTGTAGGAAAACGCCTGTAACTAGGAATCAAGTTGTATTTATTTAAAAAAAAAAAAAATCAGCCCCTTTTTCTTGAGGAACGTATTTAAATGAGAAAATAAAGGAGGTGACCTTTCTAAGTTATTTTAGCTAAAAAATAGTTTAGAAAAAAAAAATTCAAGGTCAGTTCATATATTTCCCACAGACTGCCATCCAACTCTATAGATCCTTAGTTTCTACACACCTCTCCCCATGACAGAATATCCAAAAACAACTACTAAGAATGTTATAAACTAATATTGCTCTGGATTACCATATAGATTTCACTTTTTCCTTGGACTATATATCTAATCCTCTCAATAAATATATTTTAAAACAAGACCTCTATTACAGTCAACACACAATTAGTCAAAATTATAGTCATTCAAGTTAAAAATATTCTTTTTGATTCATCCCATATTCTAAGTTACTCTTAGTAAACAAGGAATATAAGATGTGAAACTCAAACTCAAGTATTTGGGACCCCTGAAAAAAGGAAAAAGACTACTTCTAATTTAAGCTTGCTGAAGGAAAGCTAATCACTTGGAATGCATGTTGCACCCACATTGCTGATAAGTGTTATTGCCAAATTCCTTAACTATGTTAGAAGCTGTTGCTGTTGTATTGTCCTGTGGCAACTTTGCAATACTTTCAGTGATAATGTCAAACCTAGGCCTATTATTTCTTAACCCAACATAATTGTTTATATCAACTTCCAGTTAGGTCAGGTAATATGAAATAGAAAGATCATGGAAACAAAATTATTTAACTCAAAGAGATCTATCGATTTTTCAAAATTAATGTGTATTTTACCACACAGGAACTACACCACTCTCCCTCTTTTAAAGAGGGCAGTTACTTTTACGCATCTTCTTACTACTTTTTCATTCATTATCTAAAACGTTTACCAATGAATGTTTTGCAGATGCACTATTCTCTGTGATTGGTTTATTTTCAGTAACTTATATGAGATCTACAATCGGCAGTTCCTTTTGAACATCAACGAGTCCTGTTTCCCCGGGTTTGAATTCTAGTATCTCTAAATTCTTATAGTTATGACTATCTTCAAATCCACAATCGGCTCAATAGCTCTGCCCTTGCAAACAAAAGCTTGCTGTGGTTGGAAGTGGCGCGCCAACATCTCAAGGTGTTGTAGGTCCTGGATCAGCAGCCACCCCATCCATACACGAATATCACGAGAGCAGCTCCAAGCTCCCAGAGATTAAAACGGGCTAGCAGTCAGGGTGCACACACCGGAGGGAGGGAAGAGACCCTAAAAAGCACCAAGGGTCGGTGGGTGGAGAAACAAGCTAAAGTCCAAGGAGGCAAGGTAGCCCCCGAGCACTCCTTGGCAACCTGGTCGGTGCCACAGGCAGGTACCGGTTCAAGTAAGAGAGGTCCCGCCTCCCGACCATTAGGCGCACGCGAGATCTCCAATTTGGGCCGCAGGAAGCAGCTTGGGCAGATGGAAAAGCACGCGCGCCGCCACCCCCACCCCTCACCCAGTTGCTCACCGGTGCTGCAGCCCCACGAGTCCCAGAGTGATCACATGCGGCACATCTAGCTGCGTGGGCCACTCTCCTGAGCTGATACACCCGAACACGCCACATTCCTCTCGGATACCCAACTCCTCCAGCTCCATGTCGTCGCAGAAAGCACGTGGAGGGAGCTGCCGCCGCGGCAGGGGTATAAGCACCAACCAGCAGCCCGCACGGCCCGTACACCTCGGAAGCTCGTGCCAGCAAACAGACGCTTCCCTCCCAGCGGCACGACCCTCGCTACTGCGGCGGCGCGTGCTTTCCCCAAGCAAGCGTGATTAGCTCCCACCCACCCCGCGCGCCACCCTGCCCCGCCTCCTCCCGGCCCACCAATGAGCGAGGGCGGAGGGAGAGGCTGCATGGCTGATGGGCGGAGTCACGGACTCCAGTGGGGGTGGAGCTATTCCTGCATTAGAGTCCTACGGGCGGCTAATTTTTCTGCACGTGTAAATCTCCGTTATTTTCCTGTACCCAAGCCTGAGGTGATGAGACTAGCGGGGCCAACGTCATTTCGCTCCCAGAGGATGTAAACTTTGTATTCTCCTACCCACATGCTTTCCCCTGGCCGTCACTACTTGGTACACTCCAACCTATGAACTGCTCTCACTGCCGAGAAGGGGGCCCGGTCTAAAGCTACTGTAGAATGGGGAGGGGCGCCAGTGCGCGCCACTTTTCACCTCTCCTGCAACAGCGCCGGCGCGGGGCGGGGAAGGTGAACGCCTGCGTCGTTGCGCCTGCGCGGCGTGAATCCTCAGGGATCGCGCTCACTCCCATAGTTCTAACTCCTCAGGGTCGGTAAAGACCCCCGGTTTCCGCTGCTGCTGTAGGTGCTCGACCAAGGCGCGAGTGGGTACACTGACAAGGCGACCCTCCCTGGGGGGTGTCTGTGGGCCGCGTCTCCCTTCCCCCGCCCTGTGAGCCTCTCTGACCACTCTTCTTTTCCAGAGTTCGGCCTCTCTTAGTGCGGTCGCTGCCCCCAGCCCACCAAGGACGATGGCGACAGCTGAGGGTGAGTAACCGGCCTTTCCAGGAGTCTGCCCTGGACTCCCAGCTCTCGATGGCCTGCCTTCCCACCCCGGCCTTGAGTTCGCGGGCTCGGCGCAGACACGTGCGCGTCTCGTGCCCCTGACAGTAGCCTTTCCCGTGTCTCCTTGGAGCCGCCTCTAGGCATCTAGGCTGGCCGAATGGTGGTGCGCTGGAAACAAAGCACACTCCGGCTTCTCCGAACTTTCTTAAATACTCATAACTGCCTCTGGGGTGGAGAAAAGGAACAAAGAGGAAAAGAGTAATTAGAACAAGAAATGCTTAGGGATTGGAGAGGTGCCTGGAGATCAATTTTGTGATCTATAGAAACTGAAAAACTCAAGAACATCTAGAATTGACTCTTAAAAGTCTTGCTTTTTCAGTTAGGTTAATAATAACTTGGTATTCCAGAAAATTGATACTTGAACCTTCTAAAAAATTTGCTATTTTCTGTCCAGATTTTGTGTGTTTTTTAAAGTAGTCTTTTGGTGCCATGATGGCTTTGGAGAGCTCCAAAACCACCAGGCAAAAAGTTTCCTTGCTTCACTTTGCATTTATCATATTTACATATTTACATAATTTGCCCACTAGTGATTATATCCTCAGGAAAGATTGTGCCAATCTCTGCTGGTAAAATTTCTACATTTATAGTGAACTGAAATCCTTATATTGGCTGATCAGTACATTCTCTCCATATACAAATACTGACTTTAGGTTAAAAATTTCAGACTAAAAAGATCCAGATGACAATTGAGTAACAACTCCATAAAATCAAGGCATTAGACTAGAATTTTTCCTGCCTTACCTGTAGACTGATAGAATTTCTAAAATCTTTGCTCTTGCACTTCCTTCCATCTTGTATATCTTGGCAAGTTAATAGAATGCCACCTTTATGGTTTTTAAATGGCTCAAGAATTCTTTGAGCACTAACTTGCTCAAGAATTTTCAGTAGCAACCCAAGTCTGAAGAAAGACCCTTTCATTCACATCCTAAATACTGCTTCCTTCCTACCTCTTCAATCCTGACTTTGATTTTTCTCTATTCTGAATTCTAGGTGTACATTCCAGTAGGTAATTCGCCAAGTTTACTCTGTGTTTATGCCGTTTCTTCTAGAACAGTGCTGTCTAATAGAAATATAATGGGAAACCATATGTAACTTTGTTTTCTAGTTGCCACATTTTAAAAAAGTAAAAAACAGGTGAAATGAACTTTATTTTATTTAACCCACTATATCCCAAATTGCATCATTTAAACACATAGTCACTATAAAAAATTATATTCTGCATCTCTTTTCATATTGAAATCCATTGTGTATTTTTACGCTTATATCAATTTCAAGTATTTCGTAGCCGCATGTGGTTAGTGACTACTTTACTGGACAGAAGTCCTGATGTTCTTATTTCTTACACTTTGCAAGATCCTTGTTTCATTTCCATGAATTATTCTCAATCCTCGTTGATCTTTTCTGAATTCACCCACAATTTTGTAGCAGGCATATCAGTACTTGAAACATATGTCTCTTGTGATTGTTATTTAAGTTATTTCTCCCATTAATTGAAATTCCCACCCTATTTAATAACTAGGTAATAAATATTGATTCGACTAAATTGGGAAGGAAGGGCAGTAGGTATGAACTTCATTTTGCCTTTTATCCAACCTAGACAACATCCATGACTTTCCCCTTTCTATCATTCTCCCATAGTTAATCAATTGTTCTTAAAACTTTTACCTTTTAAAAATCTTGAGTCTTTTTACTACTGCTTTTCACTTAGCCCAGGACATTTCTTGCCTGGATTGCTGCCACAGCATCCTAACTAGTCTCTCCATCTCTAATTTTCTTTCACCCACTCCTTATTTCATTCACCACAGAGTAGCCATAATGGTCTTTATGGTAGAGAAATCTGTCATTTTATTTAAGTACTTCAAAGCCACATAGTTGTTCTTAGGATAAAGTCTAAATTCTATCAACATAGCTTATGAAGCCTGAAGGATAAATAGTGAAATGGAAGGAAACTGTTTCAGGCCTAGGGAAGAGCATGTCTAAAGTCTGAAAAGGGGATATAGAAATCCATTTATGGAAGTTGGAATTCTAGGAAGGGAATAGAGAAATCTGAATTTGGAGCACTAATCCAGGCTATATCTTGAAGGGCCTTTTAAACTGTCAGTAAGTCAAGACATGATGATAGGAGATAGGGATTCATCCTCTAAATTAGGTACTCTGCAATGTCAGCTATTAAACTGAACTGTAACTGGTTTGTTTAATGGATACCTTCAGTTCACTAGCTGGTGATATACCTGACCCACTCCGACCCGCACACTCTTATGGCAGTCATCTCCTGCCATTCCTTTCTCCTCTTTATATATTGCTTCCCTCACCTGCCCAACAATGTGCACACACATAGTGCTCGAAATATACTGAAGCTCTGCCACGTACTCTTTCACCCCATGGTCTTTGTTTCACTCTACCTACCTCTCCCCCTTCTGCCTAAATTTTGATCGTTCATCAGATCTCAACCTAATCCTCACTTTGTTCTAAACTTCTCTGATGTCTAGACTAGGTTAAATGGCCCTGCCATGAACCTGTGATTCCATAGTCCAGGAGTCTCCAACCCCTGGGCCACAGACCAGTACTGGTTCGTGGCCTCTTAGGAACCAGGCCACACAGCAGGAGGTGAGCAGCAGGCCAGGGAGCGAAGCTTTGTCTATATTTGCAGCCACTCCCCAGTGCTAGCATCACCGCTTTAGCTCCACCTCAGATCATCAGGCATTAGATTCTTGTAGGAGCACCAGTCCCTGGTGCCAAAAAGTTTGAGGACCGCTGCCATAGTTATATATTTCTCACATTGTACTTATTGTGCTGTCTTGTTTAATTTCAGCTTCCCTTAGAGTTAGGTCACTTAATAGCAGGGATTCTGTCTCCTTTGCTGATATATCCCTGGCTTATGTACACTAAAAAATGCTGTTACTTAAAATGAGTCAAGTGTTCTGGGAGCATGAGAGGTGATTTCTTTCCTTGGAATTTTTAAGTTCTAAAACTTCTATTATCTCTGATCTTCATTTAAATCATTCTTATGACTAAGATTACTTTTCTTTAGGTCTTATGACCTACATCAAAATTGGATTCTCTTGTCATTACTTCCTCATAGTTTCCTACAACTGTTAGGAGAAAGGGTTAAGGGTAGGGGATTAGGAAGCCGGATTGAGAAATAGAGGTGCTTCCAAATGGGCTAATTGTAGTGGGTGGAGGTGCCTTCTCTTGCACATTAACTTGTAATCAAGAGCGTATGTGGCTGTACTTTCCTATTTCTCCTGCCACGGAAAGCAGAAGTCAGGGAAAATACAGCTGTTTTTCCACTGCAAGCTAGTTTAGTTATTGTGTTGTAAGTATATGAAAATGCTACTGAATTTATACTAATTTTAATTTATCTTAATTCTACTTCAGTTCTGCTGTGAGAGAAGCAGATCGTGGAAAGCACAAATTTTGATATCAGAAGACTAAGGATTTTGTGTGGCTGTGCCATTTCCTAACTGTGTGACCTCCACCTTTTCGATACTTAGTTTCCTGGTCTCTATAATTATTTACATAATAAAAATTCATCAGAAAATTGTGTGAATCAAATATGCACGTGAAAATACTTTGTAGAGCATGAGTTAATTTTATTTAAATTATTACTGAGCCACTCTGTGTTCACTGGTTGATTATTCTAGGAGGTAGTTAGTCTTCAATATTCAGGAAGTTTCTTTCTAAAATCTGATGTTTCCATTTTATTTCCACAGTACTGAACATTGGTAAAAAACTCTATGAAGGTAAAACAAAAGAAGTCTATGAATTGTTAGATAGTCCAGGAAAAGTCCTCCTGCAGTCCAAGGACCAGATTACAGCAGGAAATGCAGCCAGAAAGAATCACCTGGAAGGAAAAGCTGCAATCTCAAATCAAATTACCAGTTGTATTTTTCAGTTGTTACAGGAAGCAGGTAAGTGGCTCTCCCAGTAGCCTCCCCCTTCATATTCTTTCTCACACACACAGATTGGCCCTTTTCCTGGAGAAATGACACATTAATTGGATTAACAACATGTTGATTACCAGTTATATTTTTTAGGTTTTACAATAAGCAGGTAAGTAGCTTCCCCCACAGCCTCTTTCTCTACACACACACATACACATACAACACACTTTGATCTCTCTCATGGGGAGATGCCATTATTTGGATTAACAACATTTTTTTGAAGATGTCTCATAAGTAAGCTTATTTAAATCAAACCAGGAATTCTTGAATTTCACTATAACACTTTATTTGGTTTGGAATTTATAAGTAATATCATTTAGTTAAAAGGAATCTTAACAGTTTGCTACAGTTTTTGTCTGGCACTTATATCTTCCTTGCAACTTCTCTCTCCTAAGAAATCTTCATAAAGAGAGACTTAACCTATAAAAGAGCTTAAGGAACTTTGCTATGAAGGATGCTCATTCTGGTGTTAGCTCTAATTGATCAATTGAAATTTAGTCCCTGTAATTAATTATTCTTTGCTTCATCCCTGACATAATACAGAATTTCAAATTTCTCTTCCACTGGAAAGCTCTGTAAAGAGCTTTTGAAGACTATTTGAAAACTGACCATACCTTTTCATCTTGCCATTCCCCAAGTGAGGGATTTGGACTCGATCAGAGATCTTCACCTCCTAATCTAAAACTGAATGAAGACTATTTCCAATAGAGAAATCTATTAGAAAGATGGTCAGAAAGAAAGAAGTCAGAACATTTCTGTGGAGGGTGTTTGGAGTGAAGGAAGGGAAATTAGGATAATGGGTTTTTCTGCAGGGATTCTGTCAGTAGTTGATTGGTCTGTATTGAATGAAATCTCAGCTAGTAAAAGATTTGGGCTCTTTCACTCCAGTGGCCTCATTGCCTTGGGTCACTCAATGAATTTGCCTTTTAGGTACCTCATGTAAGTGGAATGAATTATACAGTATTTGTCTTTTATTTCACTTAGCATAATTTTTCCGTGATTAATCCATATTGTAGCATATATCAGAATTGCATTCCTTTTTATGACTAATAATTTATTGTATGTATGTACATTTTGTCTATTCATTCATCTATTGATAGGATAGTTGGGTTGTGTCCCCCTTTTAGCTATTGTGAATTTTGCCGTTGTGAACATTGGTGTATAATTACCTGTTGGAATCCCTGCTTTTAATTCTTTTCAACCTGCTTTTAATTCTTTTCGGTGCCGCCTACCCTAGAAGTGTTATTAAATCACAGTACAAAGTAATACTGTAGTATACTGTGAATTAAACCATCTGGAAACTGGCATGGGTTTAACATAATGCTCATGTTCAGGCTGCAGTGTTATCTTAGTTTTCCAATAACAGTTTAAGAGAAGGGAAAAGGACAAATATTTTCTTTGCTCTTGGCCAAATTGGTCACTGTGTTCTTGCTGTTCCACATTGGATGATTTTCAAGGATTATTTGCTCCAAATAAGAGAAAAAGGCTATCCAAAATTTAGGGCTTTATCTAATTGTGATAAGTAGATTGATATTTTACAAGGCCCATATAATACTGGACCATAGAACATAAGAATCCTGCAACCACATCTGACTTGGAAATAATTTAGTGTCTCCCAGGTAAGTTATATACCTTGTGCAAAGTCAGGTATGCACTGGAAGAAGAGGTACTCAAAAAATATTTTTTGAATGAATGAATTAATGGATGATAAAGACACTGGGATCCATATCTTCTAATCCAGTATATACTTTGCCATGTGATAGTAAAGTGAAATTTTTCTGAGTATTTTGATAAGCAGCATAAAGCATAATAGTTCTGTTTTCCTACTTTCACCTTTTTTTATTTTTGATAGTGGCATTTAACTAGATAGGGTTTTTGTTTTTTTGTAAAGGGTAGGGTTTTCTTATGCCTCAGATCTACCTTTTAAATGTAATTTTAATGCTTCTTAATTTTTATCATTAATGTATAGGTATCAAAACTGCTTTCACCAAAAAATGTGGGGAGACAGCTTTCATTGCACCTAAGTGTGAAATGATTCCAATTGAATGGGTTTGTAGAAGAATAGCAACTGGTTCTTTTCTCAAAAGAAATCCTGGTGTCAAGGAAGGATATAAGTTTTACCCACCTAAAGTGGAGATGTTTTTCAAGGTAATTTTTTTATGTCTCTGTGTTTTACTATAAAATAGCTATAAATTTATAATTACCAAGTCAAAAGATTTAGACGTTATTAAAGCTTTCGATATTGCAATTGTCATTTCAGAAACATGTCAATAATGTACATTTCTATTATCAATGATAATTCAGATTTCTAACCCATTTCCCATTTAGGAAAAAAAAAGTGCATCTTGCTGCCAGCGTTAATTTAATTTTACATAATCACTCTCATTGAGGCTGAAGCAAATCTGAATAGTTTTCAATGTGAAACTAAAATATAAAAACTGTTCTTAGAGTTATTTCTAAACAGAACTTGTCTCTAATCCTAATGTAACAGAAATGTATATGATGATCAGTATTTAGTAGTTTTTTTCGTGGTAAATTTCAAAGCACGGAACAACACAAAGCAGAACATCACATTCCACACAAAAATATCACAATTCTCTCCAGATCTTCTTGCCAACCTTGTGCAAGCAGCAAACTTTGCAGCGACTGTTGGATTCTGTTTCCCTGATGGTGGTTGTGTATGCTCTTGGGGAAATGTCTTCTAGACAGGTGAAGAGGTATGACATCAGAGCACAGGCAACCTTGAAGATGTTGCTTCCCTGGCTTGTGATGCTTTTCCAACATTCAGCCAGCATCAGTCTGAAGTTTACATGGCTGATTGTGTGCTCAGGATTGTTCTTAAAGAGGATGTAGGAGTTCAGCACTGTAATGTTTAGAAAGTGGCGAGAGAACTTCTTATACCAAACCTTGTGCCTTTTGTGCTCAGTTGGATAAGAACTGAGAATCTGGAGTGGCTCCATAATGTAGTGGTCAGCATGTCTGCTTTACACGCAGAAGGTCCTGGGTTTGCATCCCGGGTGGAGCCATGGACCAGGCCCCGCGAGTGCACCAGGGGTACCAGGCCCCAGGTGCGCCAGGCCCCCTGAGTGCACCGGAGGTGCCAGGCCCCGAGTGAACCGGGCCCTGGGTGCACCAGGCCCCAGGTGCATACCGCGAGCGTGTGGGAGAAGACACCCCGCCTTCAGAGATCCAGTTCTTAAGGGTAATGGCAACATCCATAAGTCAGGGGTGGAAGTTGTGGGGGCGGAATTAAAGAGGGGAGAAAAGAAAAAAGAAATGAGCATTTGATTAGCTGAGTCCGCTGCTCCCAAAATGACACATGGTTTCTTAGTTTTTTTTTAAATTTCTGTTGTCTACTTCAATTATAGTATCATTGTGGAATGTTGACAACATTGTCACCTCCTTGTCACCACTTCAGCCATAAGTTCACCACAGAATCTGGCTATAGTCGTCCCCTTTGCAATCCTTTTTTTTTTTCCAGATCGTTTGGCATCTGTTTTCTGTCCAAACGATATGTCAAAACTGCATCAGCCCTGTTTTGATGTAATTCTCTGAAAAGCATGGGAGATGTATGGCAAACTTTGAGGAGAAGGTTAAGAATATAATCCACGAGTTATTGCGCGATAACGCTGCAGTCGCAAGCACTGTCAGCAAGTAATCTCAGGGCAAACAGGAAATGGGTTAAAGAAAAACATCTGTGAAAATCTACTTATCTTTTGACCAAGATGACTAACAAAATAAACAAATTAAAATCAGCAGTTACTAGGAAGAAAAGTAACAATTCAAAAAATTTTTAAATTTACTGTTGAAGAGTGTGAAGTAAAGACTAATATGAAGGGTCTTTTTATATTCTAATATAGAAAAACTATTATCAATGTTTCTTATAAGCAAAAACATAGTAAAGGATGTAGGAATCAGTAGTTATCAATTTGTATTTGTTTTCTTTAACCTGCTTTTTTCCAGCTTTGTTTATATACTGTTATGCATAGTTATACTTCAGAAGCAATGTCAGTGTATTTTTAATCAGTGAACTGCACAGTTTAAAGTGCTCGTGTTATGATTATAATTATACAGATCAAAAATCCTTGAAAGAAAAATTTCATGTAAAGTTGGGACACGATGTAGAATAAAATGAAAGTATTTTATTTTTTCACTGATCTCTTTACTTTGAAGTCTCTTGAATTATCAAATAATGTTCCTAAAAACTTGTAGACTTGTATAAATTCTTATCAATAATAAAGTCAGGAGATTATGAAAACCATCCTGGAAGATTTGGTAGACTAAATTGTGTTCTTAGCCTTTTTACCGTCTCCGTTGACTGTGATGTAGGAGAAATAAAAATCACAAATTTATACTTAAAATAGTTTATATGTAGAGAGAAAATTCTTTCACATGCTTTATGACCTAGAATAAGTTACCCAACTATTTTGAGTTTTAGAGTAGCTATTGAAAATAGACAAATTAAAAATAATTTCTGTAAATTAAAGTATTTTAAATAAAAATTAAATCTTTAGACGGAATGAATATTTCTAAGGACTTCATGCTCAAGGGAAAAAGGACTTCAGTTTATCTGAAAAGCTCAAAAAGCTTATAAAATTAATTCTGCTTCTATACTTTATTCTCAGGATGATGCCAATAACGATCCACAGTGGTCTGAGGAACAGCTCATTGCTGCAAAATTTTGCTTTGCTGGACTTGTTATAGGCCAAACTGAAGTGGATATCATGAGTCATGCTACACAGGCTATTTTTGAAATACTGGAGAAATCCTGGTTGCCCCAGGACTGTACGCTGGTTGATATGAAGGTACAAATAAAATGGAGATTTGAAAGTAAAGATTATAACTGAGAAATGTCTTTAGTAGTATAGTTTTGAAAAACTTCTTTGGTGATATGCTGTTTCTAGATTGAATTTGGTGTTGATGTCACCACCAAAGAAATTGTTCTTGCCGACGTTATTGATAATGATTCTTGGAGACTCTGGCCATCAGGAGATCGAAGCCAACAGAAAGACAAACAGGTAGGTGATACATCAGGTTTTTTTTATCCTTTGCAAGATCAGTCTGCGGTAGAGAAGAAAGGGAAGATAGAGGAAAAGAAAAGGCGGTTATTGTTCCTTATGATATAAACCTAAGTTGTTGAATGCTATTTGTTTTAAAGATAAGTATCTCGTATTTCCTACATCCTGAAAAAAAAAAAAGATAGAAATAAAATTTTACATTTACAAAGCAGAGTTTTCATTTATTATTTTAATAGACTCACACATAGAGCAAGTATTATACTTGTTTGGCTAATTGAAAACTAAGGCTCTGAGAGGAGGATAGATATTGTCACAATTAAGTGGCAGATTTGGAACTCCCAAGTCTTCTGAATCTTACCAGGTTCTATTCCTGTTCTTTCCTATAAATAACAAAATTAGAACAAGACCCTCTTTATCCGTAATAGATACAATGATTGTCAAGGAGTTAATTGTAGTTGCTAGTATAGAAAGCACTTATCCTAAAATGAAAATATAAGTATGTTTCACTGTCTGAACTTTCTTTAGTCTAACTGGAAATGAATTTGTAGACTTAGATACATTTTCGGATACATCCCTTGCCATGGAAACTCTTCATGATCTGTACCCAAAACTCAGAAACCAAATAATTTCAGATAACAAGAATACTACTAATAGAATATATTTGTATTCTAAACTTTCTGTCTTATTTTCTAGTCATATCGTGACCTCAAGCTAGTAACTCCTGAAGGGCTCCAGATGGTAAAGAAAAATTTTGAGTGGGTTGCAGAAAAAGTAGAGGTAAACCTTTTGTATTAAATTCACACTGCGTTTGTATTTTTCTCCAAATAAATCTTACTTCAAAAAGAAAAATAAAAAGTGAAAGGGTGCAGTGCTTTTTTTTTTCCAATGACTTTAAAGAAAGGAGTGCCTTTAAGAAATGTGCCACCTAACTGCCCTCACTGGCATACTGGAACTCCTGCTATTAAGCTTACCGGTACACTCCTCTCAAATCCTGTTGGGGAAACCTGGAATCTTGTCTTCTCCTGGCCCCTGCAGGAGAATCCTCAAATTTCCTATCTACCTCTCCATTGCTACTCAAAGTTCCTTTAGCATGGGTTCCATTAGCAGAGTTCACAGTTGGAATTCCATGTGTCATTAAAATGTTACTTTAAAGATTTATTATATTATGTTTACCATAATTCCTTGAAAATTGAATAGGGTTTGTGGTTACTTAAGGGTTCTAACTACCTTTTAGAACATCATTTCCATGGAAACATGCATTTTGAATTTTACGCAACTAACAAAGATAACATCTCTATTTTGGCTGATTATGCCTTAAAACCTCCTTTAAATAGAATGCACTAAAAATGTTTGGATGAAATATATTTATAACATTCTAAATATTAATTAGAAGCTTGAGTATTCTTATTTTATCTGATTAAAAATCATACTTGTTAGGTCTTGATTATGAAGAACTCTTTAGAGAGATTATTTTAAAAAATAAATTCTGTCATTTTGTTCTGTTTGTCTTAGATTTGGTCTATTAAGAAAGGAAGTATTCTGTGTAGAAGTAGTTTTACCATAAACTGTAGCTCTGTAAACTGTTCTTACAATACTCATTCCTATATTTACTTATTTTTGTCCTTTTGCGTATCCATGTTTTTCTTTTCTAGTTGCTTCTGAAACCAGAAAGTCAGTGCAGGGTTGTTGTAATGATGGGCTCAACTTCTGATCTTAGTCACTGTGAAAAAATCAAGAAGGCTTGTGGAAATTTTGGCATTCCATGTGAACTTCGGGTAACATCTGCCCATAAAGGACCAGATGAAACTCTGAGGATTAAAGCTGAGTATGAAGGTAAATGTCGAATAACTTGAGCATTTCAGGAAGTTCTGATTTTGCCAAAAAAATTTTACCTTTAGACTATTAATGCTGGAAAAGAGCTTTGCCACATTTCCAAGGGAAAAAATGTGATATCCTGGGCTGCATGACACCTCCCAAGAGTGTAAGGAATTTATAAAAGAATGGATCAGTGAGAAAGATTTGAAAATTCAAGCATGCATAGAAGGAAAAGACTAGAATTAGTCTTTACTTAATAAGAAAGCTCCTCAGCACTGTTTTTAATCTGCTCCAACAGAAAATAGGCCCCACATCAATTATAGGAGACTTGAGGTAGAAGCAGCAGATCTCAAGAGTCAATGACCAGCCTTGCCTGGGAAGCAGTCAAACATGAAATTGAGGAATAATTTCAGATTTTAGTATTGACAATAAATGTCTTAATGGAAGATAGCATTGATCTAAAATAATAGAGCCCTGGAGACACAACCAAGTGCTTTTCAACTGGAAGAAAATGTTTATTGAGTATTCCTTCCAAAGACAGTTGCTACAGGAGCATTGTTATTAATTTTTGAGGGGCGGGGGGAAGGTCTCAGAGCCCCTGGCAAGGTAATAAAAGCTAGAACTCTTTCTCCAGAAAAATGTAAAGGAATGATTTATAAATTTATCAAAGAATGAACTGTTTAAGATATGTTAGAAAATATACTGAAGGGTTTTAAGTATTTGGGTATTATTGAATTTGCCTTCAACTCTTGTTTCAAGAAGTGCCCCTAAATCTTTAGTCTCTATTACCCCTTTGGTTGAAGGACCCTAGGACAGACACTGGTTTGAGTGGTGTCATTCTTCATTTTGGTGAGCCTAACCAGCAATAGTAGAAAGGGCCTTTGAGCCATTCATTCACTGACACCTTGCCACCTCCTTTATACTATAGATCTTAAAGATGGCCAAACCTATTCTTGCTACTTCTTGACATACAGTAAGTAGCAGAGTGAACCTTATATTTTTAATATGTATGTAATAATAGTATCTTATTTATGCTTTTTTTAGAGACCGAGAAAGGAATTCAAGGAGTTAAGACATATAGGCTTTTTTTTAACCTGTCTTTAAATATTTTTTGACTACTTAGCATAATTATAAACTTCTGATTTCCTTAGGGGATGGCATTCCTACAGTATTTGTGGCAGTGGCTGGCAGAAGCAATGGTTTAGGACCAGTGATGTCTGGGAACACTGCATACCCAGTTATCAGCTGCCCTCCCCTCACTCCAGACTGGGGAGCTCAGGATGTGTGGTCTTCTCTCCGACTACCCAGTGGTAAGATACATTGAATTTTAAAAAATTCTCTGTTAAAAAATTTTAAGTATGCACAACAGTATAGAGAATAATGTAATAAAATCTCACTTAACATCTTGTTGCATCTATCACCCTCTCCCACTGGATCATTTTAAAGCAGATCTTAGACTTTATAGCATTTTATACTTCAATATTTAAATATGCCTCTCTAAGCGATAAGGAGTCTATTTTTTGAATCATAATCATAATACCATACATGACATCTAAGAAAAATTAATGGTAATTTCTTAAAATCATGTAATTTCCTATTAGTGTTTGAATTTTTTCAACCTTTTCTAGGATCTTTTGTCTATCCATTATTCTTAAATTTCAGAAAGTTGTGTCTTGGTGAGTCTGTTTCCATCCTGGGCTTTCGGTGAGCTCTTTTAATCCATAACTCTGATTCCTTAATCCTGGGACGTTTTCTTGAATTATTGAATTTCCTTCCCCCTTCATTTTCTCTCTCTCTTGATTCTAGATTTATTATTCAAATTTGGACTTCTTTGATAGCTATTCTATTTTCTTGCTCTTGTTGGCTCTACTTACTGGAATATTTCTTCAGCTTTACATTTCCAGTCCTATTGAGTTTTTCATTTTATGTAGGGTATTTTTAATTTCTAAGAGCTCTTATTTGTTCTCTGTCTCCCTGCATCCGCTACCCCCAAATAATCCTTTTCTTTGATCTCTCTCAGATTATTGGTTCCTTTTCTCAGCTGTATAATCTTTGGCCGTTTGCTCCTTTAAGAGTTGGGCACTGTAACAAACCATTTGGAAGCCCTGTGCAAGTGGATGGGGCCTGTCAAAAGTGGGCTCCACTATAGGCTGATCTGATAAGGTTGTTCTTTGAGTAACTCCTCACATCAGTGTCTTTCAGCCTTTTCTTATGTGATGACCAGAATCACCCAGAGAACCTTTCTAGTCTCAGTCTTCTACCTGGAGGAATAAACCTGGCTGCCAGCATTTGGGAAGTCGGGGGAACTTGACTTAGATGTGTATAATCTCATTTTCACTATGGCATTCCTTGCCTCAACTGGGCCTGGTATCCTCCAACCACAGAAGTCTGGTCTAAGTCTATTTTACCTTCAGAAAAATTTTAAACTGATGTGGTGCAGAAGGAGCAGTTGCTTAGATACATGGAGTGGGAAGGGGACCTGAGGGCCTGCTTTTTGACTTCCAGTCAGTCTTCTTTGTAGCCCCACTTTGACCTCACTCCTCTTTTCAAAGGTGTCTGTCTAGTGCCACTAATTCCACAGCCTTTGAGTGGGTTCTGTAATGCTAGTCAGGTTGCTTCGCATCTTTCCCGGCTTCCAGTTTAGGATTAAATTTTCTTGGTCTGCTAAGTAGTTACAACTCCATTTACCTTTCAGCTGTGTTTACATCTATTTTCTTCCTTCCTTTGACTATTGCTTTTACATGATTTCAGAGATGATACATTTGTGATTCTTAACTAGACATCTGACTATATCAAGTTAAAAATGTAATACAGCTATAAGTAAAGCTATAACCAAATTTATAGCAGAGAAATAATATAGGTATATAATAGATGTTATCCATGGAGCTTAGAAAAAGCTACCCATGGGAATGTGATAAGCGAAAATTAGGCACTTTTTTTTCGTACTGTCCAAGAAGAAACTGAATCTGAAAGATTTGTACATTGTGATCACTGGAATTGAGGATAATATTTTGAGGGACAGTATTACAATGGCCTGTGTAAAATCCTGAAAACTCCCATTTCTCTTTTTCTTATGGCATGTTCACTGGATAAGCTAACTTTTTGCTAATTAAACTTATCAGAAAGGGAGTCCTGCACAGATATCTTGGTTTCTAGAGTAGAACAGTCTACTTAGTATAATTAACCTTGTGATTTGTACTTTATTTTTATTGGGGATAACGAGATTCAAAGAGCCTGATGAATTCTAAGAATACTGGGAAATGGAGCTTTTGTATCCATAAGCTAGTCCTTGACTCTAGTGACTGACATAATAGTTTCAACTCAAGAAACTCTGCCTAAGCAAACATGTACCCCCCCAAGGAGGTTACTTTCTTACTGTCTTTTTAGATCTTATTACTATTGAATTTATTTATAATTAATATTTATTAGGATTATTCTTTGGATTTGACTTTTTTACTGCCTAAAAATGTTAAAATAGTTCAAGTGTAAAGACAAAAGTAATTAGGATATTATCAAAACAGTTTGTCTAAGAACAGGTACTTGTACTCTTGTCCTTGTCCTTTGTTCCATTTCTATTGCCTTTTACCAGGGATTTAAAGGGATTGTATATGTGAAAAGAACTTTGAAAAAAGTAAATTTCTTTGCCAGTGGATTTAGTGAGAAAAGTGATAGATGATGAATGTAAAATATCTGCTCATGGCAGATAAGTAAAATTTATTCTCTTATAATCACTTTGCCACTCCAACAATAAAGATGTAAACTCCTGTATATACTTTATTAGACAATAATACAATAACTTTTTATTGTCTGACTAATAGGACTTCTCTGAGTGTGAAACAGTTTGCTTAAGTGGTATTTTCATTATTAATTGACAGCTCAATTTTCTGTCTTTTTCTTTCTGAACTAATAGGTCTTGGCTCTTCAACCATACTTTCTCCAGAAGGATCAGCTCAGTTTGCAGCTCAGATATTTGGATTAAACAACCATTTGGTATGGGCCAAACTGCGAGCAAGCATATTGAACACGTGGATTTCCTTGAAGCAGGCTGACAAGAAAATTAGAGAGGGCAATTGATAAGAAAGAACATCATTGTATTTTTTTAGGAGAAAAACCAAATTTCTAGTTTAGCCACAGGAAAAAAAGCAAGCAAGATGAAGAATTTAAATCAATCAGAAAACAAATGAAATTTATTAGTGAATAAGTGCTTCTCTAGATTCATGGATTAGGAGAATATACGTACATATTTAAGAATATTTTAAAATGAATATCCACTATATGGTCATTGTTACATAATATAATCAAATGTATTTGCTTAACAATGCTAATAATGTCCTATTATAGAGCTCTGAAGTTACTACTTGGCCTTCTATATATCAGCCCTTAAGTTTTAGAAAATTAAAATGGTTGTAATCTTAGAAAGTGTGGTAAGAGCAAGGTAGTTCTCTTAAATTGATCTTTACAAAATTCTAAGGTCATGGTTTTATATTTGCAGTCAGTATCTCAGAAAATGATGTACATTTATCTCTAGCTATTGATAGAGATATTTTATTTTGATTTTTTTAAAGAAAAATTGAGATTGGTCCTAGGAGTAGGGAGGACACATGAGATAAGATGAAGGGGTACTGTGGAAGCCATGGAAAGGGGACTTTTCTGAGAACTTTGATGGGTGTCATGGCAACTTGCCATGGAAAAAAAGTAGATCCACCTTTGCCATTCCAAATGAAAGATTTAGCAAATCTTTCTTGGCTATGGCAGGTGTCTCTGAATCATAAAATTATTTTAATTGTGATAATACATATTTTAGCCACACTAACTATCCCCAGGATACCATCATTTTCAGAAAATTAGAATCTCCCCATTGATAACCATAACTAGTTTCTTTCTGTAAGTCCAGGCAGTGTACCCAGCAGGATTCACTTCTGAAGGAGCAGTTGTTAATGAGAGGTATTGTAGTTCATCATTAATCTATAAACCATATAGATTAGTATTTCGACATGTTATATTATGCAGGACTGAGAATTTTATAGATCACTACTTTCATCCAAATATCCATGAACCCCTTAAACTTACATGTATAAAATTTTATGTATATGCTTTTATGAAAAGGGGGCAATTACAGTTTTATCAAAAGGATCTGTGTCCACAAGAATGTTAAGAATCTCTGCTACAGTTAAAATCTTGATAAGACCCTGGCCACTGGCCTACTGTCTACACTTTTCACCTCTCTCAAATGTTAACAAGCTGGCATCTCTTATCACCACTCACCTGATCTCTGGTGGGGTGTGATTGACCTAACCACTTCTTTCTTGGGCTAGACACCAAGATATTCCAAGCTCTCAGTCATTTCTCATATTACTATTTCTCTTTAAGCGTTGATGTTGCCTACTACTGAGTATCTCCATTGTTAACAAATAATGATCTTAACTCCTTCAACAAAACTAGCATTACTGAGTCCCAGCTCTGTGTCTGTAGACTTGTATTTTCAACTATCCATTTCTGAGTGCTCCAAACTTAATTCATCATCCACTAAGCCTAGAACTGGCTACATTCGCTGTCTCAGATCAAAATTTTGATTTCATCCTTGATGTTTTCATGACCTTTTGCATCTAACTCATCACCAAGTCTTGAATTTATTACCGTTTAACCATCCTCTGCACAAGTCTCAAGTAGGGGTCGAAGTCTACATTAGCCTGATCTAGGAGGTCTTCATTCTCAGCCTAACCTTTTGAAGTTGATTGCCCAAGGACTTACAACATAAACTCTTCAAATCTATTTTGCAACATAGACTCCTTTGAAAAAATGAATGCTGTTGACCTCCCTAGAAAATTGCACACAAGTCACCAGATTTCATTGGTTCTTGGTTCCCTTGAAGCGTGTTGGTCTGTAGGTTAAGAACTGCTGATGTAACTGATCAAGAGAACTTGCTTTCCTAATTTTTGGACCATCACTTATGTACTATTAGTTCTTAGAATGTCCTCATTTATATCATTATAATGTTATTAGAGTTTTATCTTCACTGTCTCCATGAAACCTTCCCTAATCACCTGTAGCTACAAGGGCTACAAGTAGTTCTTTATTGGATTGTAAGCTGAGAAAATTTTATACTTTATTCCCCTTACACTGCCTTGTGATCTGATAAGCTATGCCTGTCAGAGATGTGGGATTGTAAAAATTATGTATTGCTTAATTTTCTTACGTTCACAAGAATAATTTAAAAGATATGATTTTAACATCTTTTAACTTTGACTTCATGGTCACTCCAGTCATTGACTATTTGGGCTTTTCTCCCTGCCTAGCAAAAACTTCACCTGTTCTGTGCAGTACCTGAAAATTTTCAAACATGATTTAGACTGGTGGATAGGATTGATCATTTTCAATAGTAATTGTCAATTTCACTATTAATTTCTTACTAGAGTACATATATCCTCAATAATTCAGTGCTGGAGTAGATACTTGTTTGAAATATTTTGAAAAACTTTGTAAAAAGTAACTTACAGAAATCTTACTAGTTTGCCATCTTGGGTGTTTTATACTTTCTATGGGCTTATAGCTAAACATGAAAAAGAGGAAGAATTGTGCCCAGTAATGTGGCATTTAAACTTTGTATCATAAAGACACTGTTGTTTTAATGCAGTCTGAAATTTAAATATTGCAGCCAAATAAAAGACAAAGATCAACTCTTGTGTGAAGCTTTATTTATTCATCCATTTGTGAAATATGTTTTGCCTGATTTTATTCCTAGGCCCTAGGAAATTAGCACTGAACAGAGACAAGGCCCCCACCCTCACAAAACTGAAATTTTATTGGGGATGATAAGCCATAAAAGATCAATTGGATAGATTCAGGGAAGTATACATGCATATGAAGAATAACCAAGGTGAGAGTATAATGATAGGGATAAGAGGAAGGTCTCTGAGGAGAGCAGAGCAATGATGTAAAAAAGCAGGCCATGCCAAGAATTGGGAAAATAGATTTCCAGAGTAAGGGAATGGGAAGTAAAACAGCTTTGCCTTTTTGAAGGCTTGCAAACGTGCCAGTATCGCTGGAGCAAGGGTGAGAATAGAAAGATTATGTTCATGTTAACAAAGACTAGATCCCTTGGGGCCTATAGGCCCACCCTGAAGTGTGAGAGAGAAAGCGATTAGAAAGTTGGAGCAAGGGCATGACATAGTTAACGTGTTTTAAAATTCTCTCTGGCTATTGTGTACACGAGTTGAAGCTGTTGTCCAGGTGAGGAATGATGTGACCTTCAAAAAGTTATTCAAATTTTTTGTGCCTCGATTTCCTTCTACATTAAATGGGACTAATACTACCCACTTCAATAGGTTATGAGAATTAAATGAGTCGACGTATGTAAAGTCTATCCTGGCATATGAATGCATTATGTAATATCCATTTAACAGACTGTAGAGGATGGAATGAGTGGAACTGATTCACCATGAAAACAAATATTCCCTTCAGCTAATTTCTTAAAAAAAAAAAGGACAACATAATGTGGGTGGGTTAAAGCATGATGTGCCATGGACTATCAATCTTCCTGCCATCTTTAGCCCAGCAGTCCTTGGAAAGCCAATGAATATACTTACTTTCAATGGAATGGTACTTTTTGCATTTAACTGCCCACATCCTCAAATACTTGATGTGGAGTTGTTAATCTAGCATTGTGGAACTGAAAATAGCAGTGGAATAGAAACAAAAAGATTTCTTTGGGCTTCAGTTCTCATATGTAAAGAGGCCTAAATAACATTTCTTCTGTCCACCTCAGAGTGGATAAAATGTATATGGAAGCTTCTCAAATCATTGCTAAATCCATCAGTGCAAAAATAAGTTTTTGCGTACCTACCATGTGCAAGACCCTGGGGACAAGATCCAGTTTCTGCTTTTGATGAGTCTTGCAATCTTCCAAGAGCAGACAATTCCAAAACACTATATTGTCATGGAGTAAAGGATAGGGTGGGTATTCTGAATACACAAAGGAGGAGGGGATCTGAATAAGCGTATAGCGTGAGTAAAAAGGAGGGACTTTTAACTCCTTCCACTCCCTCACCTTTCTTCATAGAATTTATTAGCACCAAACATAGTATATATTTATTGCCTCTCCCAACCAGAAAATAAATTCTGAGTGCACTGGTTTGTCCTTTTTGTTGTTAATTGTATCCCTAGCAATTAGTATAATGTCTGACACCAGCACATGCAAGGCATTCAAATATTTGTCAAAGGAATAAATATGCAAAATCCCAGAAGTATGGCAACATGGAACTACACATTTATTAGAGGAATATAACATATAAGGGAAATGGGGACTGAGTAACAAAAGACCGATGTGGGTTGGGGAGGTAATAAGCAAAGGCCAGATCATAAAGGATCTTACATACTAGGCTTAATAGTATGGGTTTTCTCCTGAGGGCAGGAGAGTGGCATTTGATATATACTTTAAAAGATTGCTCTGGTTTGGAAGACTCCTGTTTCAAGAATGGAAGGTTAAATCCATATATTTATATCCTGTTTGCCAGGAAATCTCTTTAAAATGACAGAAGAAATAGAAACATAGGAAGGAATCCATGGCAGAGGAATTCTGAGGAATTTCTGGAGGCTACAAAATACATGGGATCAACTATCAGCAAAAATCAAAACAAGCCTTATTTAGAGTCAACGATCTGAAAAGTTAGAAAAGCACTACTAAGGCAGTGATTCTTAACCTTAAAGATGGGTGGGTGGGTTGGTATAAACACTATGGAAAATCCGACGGAAGCTATAAAACCCTTTCTCAGAAAAATTCACCAAAATTTTGGGTAAATCGAATGTCATCTAGAACTTCCTTAACACCTCCGCCCCCAAATCCAGACATAATTGGCTTGAAATCTGACAGTTCCACAGCCAGTGAAAGTCCACAGCTCTTCCCAAAATTTTTACTAATTCACAGAAATTATATCCTCCCTAGAGTTCACTCCACCATTAGTGCTGTTTTTACACTGTACTAAATTGACCAAACATGAAATGTGTCAGGCACCAGAGGAAAAAAACTATAAGCCAGACATAGTTTCCGCCAAGGTACTCACAGATTAGGGGAGAAATGAGCAAAAACTCATTCAGTTAAAAAGCTGAGTACTAACTACATGCCAACCAGTGCGCTGTTACTGCAGTGCACAAGGTAAATATGGTCCCTGGTCTCACAGAAATTAAGTCCATCTAGAGTGAGAGAGACCTTGAACGATGATATGCTCAGAAATAAAGAGCTCTATGAGAGTGTAACGGGTTCAAAGAAGTAATGTGACGGATGAAAGGAGTTAGCTAGGTTGTTGGGAAAGCAGACAGGAAGGGTAAAGAGTTAGTAGGACCCTGACAGGATGAGTCTACAGAATAGGCGTTCAATAAAATGTTCTGTCATTTCATCAAGAGTACTCAATAGGTACTCACTCCTTTCTGATATTCAAACACATCTTGACATTTAAGATGTTACAAAACCCCTCGACTCGCTCTCTGGTACCTGAGTACTTATACTATGCCAGGATGCATGAATTATCTTTTCTTCCTAGAAAATCACTTTTTATCCCTATTTTGCAGCCGGGAAAACTGAGACTTGGATAAATTAAATAACTTGTTCTTAGACATCTGGTGAGTACAGAGCCAGGTACTAATCCAGACATTCTCACCCCAAAACACATTACCTTTCTGACCTGACTGCCTACTGCTCCTGAACTGGAGCTCAAGGGCAGCTAAGGAGTTTCACCAAACGTGCTTTGTACTTGGGAGATTCTTTTCTTCGGTGCCTTTCCTCATATTAGCTTCCCTGCCGTAACTTTACCCAGAACCAACCCCAGAATTTCTTAATTATCTTTCAAGATTCCTTTCAAATGCCAATTCCTCTACGAAGTATTCTCAAGCAGCTAGAAGCCGTCTCTCAGCTTTTTCCCCCTCTGTCCCTATTCTTCGAATGACTCCCTCCAGTTTCTAGCTGGTATTTTACCATCCCACAGACCTTTTATTTATCCTCCACAGGTCGTCGCCCAGTTTCGCCTCGTGGGAACACGATCCTGCTTAGTCCGCAGCAGTCGCCCCGGAAACGCACGCTGCTTTGAGCTGAAACTGGTAAGTCCCTTCTCAACCCCTTCCCGGGTCCGACACCTAGTTCCTCCAGACCCGCTTCAGTAAGGTGTATCGACTCTACCCACGAATTTCTAGCAACGAGGGCGGAAGATTACAGTGTTTGACGCTGACTCAAGAATAAGAGAGTTTAAGCATCCGAACATTTAGCAACTGGCTTACTCCCCGCTTGGCCACCTCTAAGATCTTCTTCCGGGGCAGAGGTCGTCCCATCCCTCCGCGTTTCCTTCAAGATGGCGAGCGGCGGCAGCGGGGGGGTTTCGGTGCCTGCGCTCTGGAGCGAAGTGAACCGTTATGGCCAGAACGGCGACTTCACGCGTGCTCTCAAGACTGTCAACAAGAGTAAGTGTCCGGGCGGGTACCGGGGCGGGCACCGGCCGGCGGAAGGATGCGGCCTTTTTCCGGCGCTCGCGACCACCTCCGATTAGACAGACGCGGGCACTGTGCTGTGCCAGCAGCCCCCGCACAAACGCCGGGCAGGCGTGGCGGGCTTGGGTTACAGACCCTCCGCTCCGCCACACTATCGTATCCTCAGGTCTTGGGTAGTTTAGAGACACGTGTACTTCCTTCTTTACCAACCGCAGGAAGCGAGGACGGGATTTAAAGAGACCGCTGCTCCCAGCACCTCATCCAAAGTGTTTTCTTATTTGACGCTTCTATTTTCTTGTCTTATTTCGCTAATATTCCACATTGCCCTACTTTCTCCTTCCATTTAGTGGAGTGATGAGACAGTATTGCTGAGGGAGCTTGTTCTCTTGGGCCTCAGCGCGGGGGAGGAACCTGCCGGGGACACGTAATTTAGAGGCTAGTGCCGACCAGGTGAAAGCTGTACAGATTCAGGGGAGAGGGAACATCTGGATCTGGATGTCAGGCCTGCATTCTCACAGATAGAAGTCAGTGTCATTAGACCAGAAAGTGTGTGTGTGAAAGCACTAATATTTGAAATAACGTCGAAAGAAAAGTTTGGCCTGTTTTTTGCCCTGTAACGGATCATTTCGGCTAAACTGCCTTCGGTATGAGGTTTACTCATATTCTTTTACCCTTTACTAAGTAACTGTAATATGGCCATGCTTTTTAATGCTCTCTGCCGTACTAAATTCTTATTTACTGACGATGCAGCCTATGTAGATAGATCTGGAAATGTAATTACCGGGACAGGGTTTGGCTATTTAAGTAATAACGTACAGAATATGTCAGTAACATACAAGGTTGTATAAATAAATTTCGACAACCTGTTGCTCGGTTAACATGAAAAGAAGTGCTTGTGATCACAATGCAGTTTTGATAATTTGAGACATTAAGGAAAATAGATACTAATTAGAAATTCAATTCCTAAACTTGTTTTGAATTAACGTTAGCCTTTGGCTAGGCCTGCAACCAGTACTACTCAATAGTAATGTAAGTATTTTGTAGGAACTATTTAATCAAGGGCTGTCAGTTTTTTCTCCAATATACATATTTTTTTAATTGGCAGAAATTCCTTTGATTCTTAGAATTGGATTCCTTAGTTGCCCAGGAGTAAGGGGAGTGATCCTGTCATTTTGACACTGAACAGCTGTACTTCTCTTTGGTC